TTACCCCCCCCCTGTCCGCTAGCTCTACTTCCCAAGGAATCTTGTATGTTGTTGTCATGTCCCCACTGACTTCACCACAAACACCCTTACCACCACAACTAGAACACCACCTGAGAATATGAGGAAGCTGTCGGAGACGTTTGGGCTCTGAGCAATTGTTATGTGATTGTAGTTGTATTACTGTATTTTGAGGGCGTAGAATACAGTATCATACACAGAATACGACCCATATACACCCCGTACTGGCTGACCCCAACGTACCAAAGAGCGTGTGCTATGAACATTGTATACCCGCGGCAGGAGGACTCTGGAACTATAGAGCAGGTAACAAGGGTTGTAACGGGCATCAGGGGCCATCTTGTGACCGGGTTGTAGCGGTTGTAACGCCTTGTTCCGCTCGCTACAAGGCTGGTAACACCAGTTGGCACTACTGCTTGTTAGTTCGCACACCTGTGGTTTGTTAACAGTTAAGTGATTGCATTGTTAACAGTTAAGTTATTGCATTGTTAGCAGTTAAGTGATTGCATTGTTAGCAGTTAAGTGATTGCATTGTTAGCAGTTAAGTGATTGCATTGTTAGCAGTTAAGTGATTGCATTGTTAGCAGTTAAGTGATTGCATTGTTAACAGTTAAGTGATTGCATTGTTAGCAGTTAAGTGATTGCATTGTTAGCAGTTATGTGATTGCATTGTTAACAGTTAAGTGATTGCATTGTTAGCAGTTAAGTGATTGCATTGTTAACAGTTAAGTTATTGCATTGTTAGCAGTTATGTGATTGCATTGTTAACAGTTAAGTGATTGTATTGTTAGCAGTTAAGTGATTGCATTGTTAGCAGTTAAGTGATTGCATTGTTAGCAGTTAAGTGATTGTATTGTTAGCAGTTAAGTGATTGTATTGTTAGCAGTTAAGTGATTGTATTGTTAGCAGTTAAGTGATTGCATCGTTAGCAGTTAAGTGATTGCATCGTTAGCAGTTAAGTGATTGTATTGTTGTAACAAACTAGGCTGTTGTAAGAATTATCCAGAGTGGTTTATCGACAAAAGAGAATGGGAAGCTGAGCCGCATGGTGACCTGACCCCCAGGGGGATTCGCGGTGGAAATAACCGACGCGTTGTTCATAACTGCGTATAATGAACCATCCTATAGTATTCAGTAAATTAGAGAAAATTAGCCTTTATTCATTTTGCATTAAAATTGTATTGTATAATAGTACTGGATACAATATCAAGAGTATTCTAATTATTGAGTTTAAGTCACCATCAGTGACGTCACGAATCGGATCTAACTTTTAAGGCGGAGTGACCGGCGGTCATAGGTCAGCAGGGTTGACATGTCTAATATTTCTCAAAGTTTTAATAACCATTTTTGTGATCGGGAACAGCTTTGCCGTTAGATGTTTGTGTAATCTAATTAAAGTAAAATAATTCAACCAGTCTGGATCAATTCAGTACAAACAGAGGTTAATTGTTATAACTTAAACCTTGCTAGGAACTGGGTAGAACTTTGTCTAGGCGGAAGGATACAATACTCTGTCTGGGGTAGTCCAGACAAGGAAAAAATCAGTGTGAATACGGGAGCAGCTGGGAGAGGTCAAACATCTTACCTCTCCCCAAGACATCTAGCTGGTCGCCCAAGGTATAGTTGCTATGGTTATGTATAGAAATAGTCTTCTCATTTGCCATTCAGGTCAAGTAGGGAGTGTTAAAGTGATAGGGAGTGAACACATTTAGATTTTGTTTTAGTTTTCTTTTAATAAATTAAATTTGTTATTAATTTGCATTTTATTGTTTCCATTTGGTTATGTGTAAACTTGTCCTGGTCACGTGGTCCACACGAGGCAGAGTTGCATTGGGCGCCGATTCTAACATCGAATCGGAATTATCAGTACCGTGTAATTTATTCCACACTCAAGGTCATCGTTTATAGTGGGGATCAAGCCCCTAGGTTGATTAATTAGCAGTTGTGATTGTATTGTTAGCAGTTAAGTGATTGTGTTGTTAGCAGTTAAGTGATTGCATCGTTAGCAGTTAAGTGATTGTATTGTTAGCAGTTAAGTGATGGTATTGTTAGCAGTTAAGTGATTGTATTGTTAGCAGTTAAGTGATTGTATTGTTAGCAATTAAGTGATTGCATTGTTAGCAGTTAAGTGATGGTATTGTTAGCAGTTAAGTGATTGTATTGTTAGCAGTTAAGTGATTGTATTGTTAGCAGTTAAGTGATTGTATTGTTAGCAGTTAAGTGATTGTATTGTTAGCAGTTAAGTGATTGTATTGTTAGCAGTTAAGTGATTGTATTGTTAGCAGTTAAGTGATTGTATTGTTAGCAATTAAGGTTGTGGTTGAGAAAATAACAATGTCTGCTGACTGTACTGTAATTGTAACTCTGTTATGTAATTAGTGTCCTGTACTCTTAATGTACTCTTTCCCCTATAATAAATGTACTACCATTTACGAGTGAATCATTTGAGTGATTGATGGATTGATCAACATAACTGTTGCACGAAGACATCACATTAGGTGATGAGTATTGATGATGAGTCACAATAACGGGGTTGATGATATGAGGACAGAACACAGACCAGGTGATGAGTCGTCTCCTCATCTTGCGGGGGGGGGGGGGGGTTGAGCTCTGGCTCTTTGGTCCCGCCTCTCAACCGTCAATCAACAGGTGTACAGGTTCCTGAGCCTATTGGGCTCTATCATATCTACACTTGAAACTGTGTATGGAGTCAGCCTCCACCACATCACCCCCTAATGCATTCCATTTGTCAACCACTCTGACACTGAAAAAGTTCTTTCTAATATCTCTGTGGCTCATGTGGGTACTCAGTTTCTATCTATCACTCACACACGACGCGGCAAATCTCCAATATGGTGTAAATCAGGACTTTCAACGGGCCACAGATAAAAAAATATGATGTTTAATAATAGTAAGGTTCAGCTCCTGCCCTGTGGAAAATAGGACAATGTAAAAACGGAAACCAATGATACAATAGAATCAAATCCCATTATACAACGGAAAAACAATACAAGGGATCTAGGAGTAATCAGGTCGGAAGATCTTACCTTTAAGGAACACAATAAAGTAGCCGTCATGACAGCAAGAAAAATGACAGGTTGGATAACAAGGACCTTCCACACAAGGGATGCCATACCAGTGATGATACTTTTCAAGACGCTAGTGCTCTCTAGGGTGGAATATTGTAGCACTCTAACAGCCTCCATTTAGAACATTTGAAATTGCTGACCTGGAGAGCGTGCAAAGATCCTTTACCGCTAGAATTCACTCTGTAAGTCATCTACATCATTGGGACCTATTAAAAGTTTGAAATCTGTATTCTCTTGAGCACAAGCGAGAGATATTTAATAATTTACACGTGGAAAATATTAGAGGGGCTGGTCCCAAACCTGCACACAGAAATAACATCACATGAGACCAGAAGACATGGCAGGATGTGCAGAATACCCCCGTTCAAGAGCAGAGGTGCAACAGGTACTCTGAGAGAGAACTCTATCAACATCAGAGGCCAGAGACTATTCAACACGCTTCCACTACACATAAGGGGCATAACTGGCCGACCCCTCACAGTGTTCAAGAGAGAACTATCAACATCAGAGGCCCGAGACTGTTCAACACGCTTCCACTACACATAACGGACATAACTGGCCGACCCCTCACAGTGTTCAAGAGAGAACTATCAACATCAGAGGCCCGAGACTGTTCAACACGCTTCCACTACACATAAGGGACATAACTGGCCGACCCCTCACAGTGTTCAAGAGAGAACTATCAACAGCAGAGGCCCGAGACTGTTCAACACGCTTCCACTACACATAAGGGACATAACTGGCCGACCCCTCACAGTGTTCAAGAGAGAACTATCAACATCAGAGGCCCGAGACTGTTCAACACGCTTCCACTACACATAAGGGACATAACTGGCCGACCCCTCACAGTGTTCAAGAGAGAACTCGCTAAGCACCTCCAAAGAATACCTAATCAACCAGGCTGTGATTCACACGTCAGAATGCGAGCAGCCACGTCCAACAACCTGGTTGACTAGACGACCTACTGGGAGGCCTGGTCGGAGACCGGGCCGTGGGGACCTTTTATGCTCAAAACCTTCATATGGTACCCACAAGGTAACCTTTGTCGTGAATATTTAAGAAATCATTAGGGGGTCGAGCAATTCCAGTATCCCGGAGGGCTGCTAACGTGGTGCCGAGTTTTAGAAAATTCTCTCGATCACTCGAATCGACGTATTGATACCTAACATTTATTGTAGGAAATTTGCTTGAATCGATATTCGCAAACCCAATTCATTTACATCTAGTTAAGCATAGATTGCTATGCTTAACTAAGGGCTGTTAGCCTTTAACGAATTAACTCGTAATCTTTTCTAGGACATTTGAAGCAGTTAGGAAAAATTTACTGGTTAGGGAAATAGTTTTATAAAACAAGGTACCAGGTATCAGTGTTGGCGTGGGATAACGTGATTGTTTCAAGTGCAGGCGAGACATATACAAGAGGAGTTAGGGTGGATATAAGTATTAGCTGCCTCGTTTGAATAGACATTTTGTTGTTTAATATGTATTAGTTCTATACTAGAACTTATTACTAGAACTTGTATTAATATACAAGTGCTTGTATAGTGACACCATACAAGTCAGGCATTATATTAGTTCACTATCATCCCACTTTGAGAGCAGTGGGGCAGTAGGTAATACCATACAACCATACCAATACCAACCACCCAACCACACCACCAACCACCCATACCACCACATCACCCACCCACCACCCAACCACCCATACCACCACATCACCCACCCACCACCCAACCAACCATACCACCACCAACCACACTACCACCTAATCAATCACCACCAACCAAGCACACCACCCACCAACCACCCAACCACACGACCACTACCCAACCACACCACCAACCACCCAACCACACCACCAACCACCAACCATACCAGAGGCAGAATACTCACGCTGGGGGAGTGATGGCGACGTAGGCGACAACTATGGCGACCAGGAGAGAGAAGCGACAGGTGGTGGCGGCAACCATGGTGGTGACGACGACTCCGAGCCGCCGCCCTCACCACGACCCGTCGACCTGACGCCTCCAGTGACACATGACTGGACGACCCTCCCACGTCCTCTCTCGCTCTCTCTCTCTCTCTCTCGCTCTCTCTCTCTCTCTCTCCTCTCACGTGTTTGGCCTCGTGCGCGCGTGGCTTGTTTGCACGTGTTACGGGGAACTTTTCTTAATTGTTTGCACGTGTTATGGGGAAATTGTTTCCACGTGTTATGGGGACTTTTCTTAATTGTTTGCACATGTTATGGGGACTTTTCTTAATTATTTGCACGTGTTACGGGGACTTAATTGTTTGCACGTGTTATGGGGGACTTTTCTTAATTGTTTGCAAGCGTTACGGGAACTTTTCTTAATTGTTTGCAAGTGTTACGGGAACTTTTCTTAATTGTTTGCAAGTGTTACGGGAACTTTTCTTAATTGTTTGCACGTGTTACGGGAACTTTTCTTAATTGTTTGCACGTGTTACGGGAACTTTTCTTAATTGTTTGCACGTGTTACGGGGAACTTTTCTTAATTATTTGTACGTGTTACGGGGAACTTTTCTTAATTGTTTGCATGTGTTATGGGGAACTTTTCTTAATTGTTTGCACGTGTTACGGGGACTTAATTGTTTGCACGTGTTACGGGGAAATTGTTTGCACGTGTTATGGGGAACTTTTCTTAATTGTTTGCACGTGTTACGGGGAACTTTTCTTAATTATTTGCATGCGTTATGGGGAACTTTTCTTAATTGTTTGCATGTGTTATGGGGAACTTTTCTTAATTGTTTGCACGTGTTATGGGGAACTTTTCTTAATTGTTTGCATGTGTTACGGGAACTTTTCCTGTTTGAACGTATTTAAGGAACTTTTGGATCTTTAGCTTTATTTAAAGTATTTTCAGATTATTGTGAAATGACCGTCTTTCTGTTGATTGATCACACCAGTGATTTTCACTGTCTGTACTCAGATTTTCACTGCCTGTACTCGGATTTTCACTGCCTGTACTCAGATTTTCACTGCCTGTACTCAGATTTTCACTGCCTGTACTCAGATTTTCACTGCCTGTATATGGATTTTCACTGCCTGTACTCGGATTTCACTGCCTATATTCATATTTTCACTGCCTGTACTCAAATTTTTCACTGCCTGTACTCGGATTTTCACTGTCTGTACTCAGATTTCACTGCCTGTACTCAAACTTCACTGCCAGTATTCATATTTCACTGTCTGTACTCGGATTTTCACTGCCTGTACTAGGATTTCACTGCCTGTACTCAGATTTCACTGCCTGTATTCAGATTTTCACTGCCTGTACTCGGATTTCACTGCCTGTATTCAGATTTTCACTGCCTGTACTCAGATTTCACTGCCTGTATTCAGATTTCACTGCCTGTACTCAGATTTCATTGTCTGTACTCAGATTTCACTGCCTGTACTCAGATTTTCACTGCCTGTATTCAGATTTTCACTGCCTGTACTCAGATTTTCACTGCCTGTACTCGGCTTTTCACTGCCTGTACCCAGATTTTCACTGCCTGTACTCAGATTTTCACTGCCTGTACTCAGATTTTCACTGAATGTACTCGGTTTTCAGTACATGTAATCGGATTTCACTGCCTGTACTCAGATTTTCACTGCCTGTACCCAGATTTTCACTGCCTGTACTCAGATTTTCACTGCCTGTACCCAGATTTTCACTGCCTGTACTCAGATTTTCACTGCCTGTACTCAGATTTTCACTGCCTGTACCCAGATTTTCACTGAATGTACTCGGTTTTCAGTACATGTAATCGGATTTCACTGCCTGTACTCGGATTTCACTGCTAACTTGGCACTTGCTGACCTGTTGAAGCGAGGCGCCTCAACAGTGCTGGTTGGCAGTGGTATCGAATTGCTCGTTACCATGGTCGTTTGTCAATTGTTCTCAGTCAGTCAGCATATGTTGACAGCTTATTTCCACCGGTGGTTGCAGGCGGCGTTGTCACCTGTGTTGCACCCACCACTGGCAAGGGCTTGACAGCACGCGGTCAACGCTTGACGTAATTCACCGCGATCAATCTCACTCGATACGTTTAAATCTTTCACCGGAGGGGCGGCGTCGCGAGAGAGAGAGAGAGAAGGCGCTGTCACGCACGCACTCTCTCCCTTGCCTTCAAATACTCATTCCGGTAATACAGTGACGACGGGTCATCACCGGCACGATAGTATTGACCTGTATACACATGCACGGGGGGTAGAGCAGGGGGAGGGGGCGCCGCCCCCGGCCGGCCACGTGTGTTTGGTATGAATTTATACGCAGAACGCACAGTTGGAGGGAGTTTGGCGTGCGGAGCGCAGGTGGGTTTGGTGAGTAGCGGGGGTGAGTAGCGGTGAGTAGCGAGGGGTGAGGGTGTATGGTGAGGCGCCAAGCGTGTGTCGGCTGCGTTTGATGGAGGGAGAATGTTGTACCCTTGTGTGTGTTGACCAGGTGAGGCGCCGCATGCGCACCTCACACACACACACACACACACACCTCTCCTGCCTCTCCCTCACTCGCTCTGGCGACCTCCTAGCGCATGCTCCTCCCTCCCCAAGGCTTCAAGAGTCTATACAACGCGAGTCAAGCCGACTGAGAGCTGCTATACGCCAGTAAGAACAGGAATACTCTTCAAGAGTTATATCTCCCGTCACTCCAGCTGGGTATATGGAAGGGCTGTGATTGGCTGCCGCGGCTCCAGTGGCGGGCCCAGTCGACCAATAGCCGCCAAGTGGGGGGCTGCCCCATGCCTCAGTGTTGCCAACGCCAGCAAGCGGGCAACCCGCTAATGAACTACATCAAAATACCTGTATTTTTCCCCCTCAAAACCCCCCATTCCGTTTTCCCCTGAATTAACGCCGTACCTTCCAACCAACGGAACCACGATATCAACTGCAATTGCTAACGAGCCTACCACCGTAGCAGCGTGTTGGGTTAACAACCAGCGTTGTATGAGCGTAATCAACGCTCACATCATCTCATTCAACGCCCAGCCGCCACACGCGACGCACCTCTCCACATCCTCGGCTCTAAATCGCATGTTAACGCCAACACCTCCTTTAGGGGCTCGCCATAGACCGTGCTACATGGACACTTCGTTCTGAGTAGCTAAATCTGAGACAACACCTCCACCAGGAAGATGGATCCCATAGCCGCGAGATCCCGCACCGCGGGTGGGAAGCTTGTGGGATAGTTCCTGTCCCAGGATGTCCCGGGATGTCCCAGGATGTCCCAGGATGTCTCGAGATGTCCCGGGATATCCCAGGATGTCTCGAGATGTCCCATGATGTCCCAGGATGTCTCGAGATGTCCCAGGATGTCCCAGGATGCGAAAGGATGTCCAGGGATGTCCCAGGATGTCCCAGGGATGTCCCAGGATATCCCAAGATATCCCAGGAAGTCTCGGGATGTCCCAGAATGTCCTAGGATGTTCCAGGATGTCCCAGGATGTCCAGGGATGTCCCAGGATGTCCCAGGATGTCTCAGGATGTCCCGGGATGTCCAGGATGTCCCAAGATATTCCAGCATGTCCCAGGATATCCCAAGATATCCCAGGATGTCCCAGGATATCCCAAGATGTCCCCAGAATGTCTTAGGATGTCCCAGAATATCCCAGGATGTCCCAGGATGCCCCAGGATATCCCAAGATATCCCAGGATATCCCAGGATGTCCCAAGATGTCACAAAAAGTCCTAGGATGTCCCAGGATGTCCAGGGATGCCCCAAGATATCCCAGCATGTCCCAGGATATCCCAAGATGTCCCAAGATATCCCAGCATGTCCCAGGATATCCCAAGATGTCCCAAGATATCCCAGAATGTCCCAAGATATCCCCGGATGCCCCAATATATCCCAGCATGCCCCAGCATGCCCCAAGATATCCCCGGGATGTCCCAAGAAGCTATTAGAGACCGTCCCGGGCCACCTGGGGCACACAGGGGCCCCTCTGGCCACCCAAGATGCCCGACCGTAATAGCCCGCTACACGAGCAAGGCGCCAGCACCCGCCCGCACATGGGTTATACACGATAGATAATTAAACGCAAAATGATAGATAGCGGCAATACATAATCCCCCGGGTGGAACAGGTGATGGGGATGGGATGGAATAGGGGATGGGAAAGGTGATGGGAAGACAGATTCGAGCCCGTTCGAACGTGTTAGCATCAATCAGTCAATTTTGAAAGGGAAGGTACGCCCCTTCCCCCTTTTCCATATCCCATGAAAGGGATGTGAGGACAGGATAGGAGGTGGGATAGAAGGCTCTTGGTAAAAGAACGTTGACCCCCCCCCCCGCCTTCCACTTGGACCATCGGGGCTCGAACTCTGACCTTGCAAGAAGCGAAGGTTACGACCAATCTAAGGGGATGAGGGCGCTAGAGAGCATCTTCCTGTAGCATGAGGCACATCCCAGTGGCATGGGACACATCCCAGTGGAATGGGACACATCCCAGAGGCATGGGACACATCCCAGAGGCATGGGACACATCCCAGAGGCATGGGATACATCCCAGAGGCATGATACACATCCCAGAGGCATGGGAGACATCCCAGAGGCATGAGACACATCCCAGAGGCATGGGACACATCCCAGAGGCATGGGACACATCCCAGAGACATGGGACACATCCCAGAGGCATGAGACACATTCCAGAGGCATGGGACACATCCCAGAGATGGGGGGGGGTAATGGGCAGGGGGATGTGACACATCCCAGAGGGGCCTCTGGGATGTGTCCCATGCCACTGGGATGTGTCCCATGCCTCTGGGATGTGTCCCATGCCTCTGGGAGACGACCAGTCTAAGGGGATGGGGGAGCTAGAGAGCATCTTCCTGTAGCATGAGGCACATCCCAGAGACATGGGACACATCCCAGAGGCATGGGACACATCCCAGAGGCATGGGACACATCCCAGAGGCATGGGATACATCCCAGAGGCATGATACACATCCCAGAGGCATGGGAGACATCCCAGAGGCATGAGACACATTCCAGAGGCATGGGACACATCCCAGAGGCATGGGACACATCCCAGAGACATGGGACACATCCCAGAGGCATGAGACACATTCCAGAGGCATGGGACACATCCCAGAGATGGGGGGGGGTAATGGGCAGGGGGATGTGACACATCCCAGAGGGGCCTCTGGGATGTGTCCCATGCCACTGGGATGTGTCCCATGCCTCTGGGATGTGTCCCATGCCTCTGGGAGACGACCAGTCTAAGGGGATGGGGGAGCTAGAGAGCATCTTCCTGTAGCATGAGGCACATCCCAGAGACATGGGACACATCCCAGAGGCATGGGACACATCCCAGAGGCATGGGACACATCCCAGAGGCATGGGATACATCCCAGAGGCATGATACACATCCCAGAGGCATGGGAGACATCCCAGAGGCATGAGACACATTCCAGAGGCATGGGACACATCCCAGAGGCATGGGACACATCCCAGAGACATGGGACACATCCCAGAGGCATGAGACACATTCCAGAGGCATGGGACACATCCCAGAGATGGGGGGGGTAATGGGCAGGGGGATGTGACACATCCCAGAGGGGCCTCTGGGATGTGTCCCATGCCACTGGGATGTGTCCCATGCCTCTGGGATGTGTCCCATGCCTCTGGGAGACTGTTCCAGAGATGAAATGAGACAAGGAAATGGGCTGACGTACTCATCTATATGTACTCACTGTGATGAGTAAAGTACTCAGCCACACGTACTCACCATCATGGGTAAAGTACTCACCTCAGTGCTGTCAATTGCTGCACCGGGGCTCGAACCGGCTTCCAGGACCTCTTCTTTGAGAGGAACTTCACGTTCAAGTCACTCCACACAGCCAGTGATTCCATCGAAAAGGATTTCCTAAAATCCTTTTGCGTTTCCGAGTAAAATAAATCTTCTATTTCAACCGTCTCTCACTGGGCGGATTCTTGTGGCCCACCTTGTCTATTTCTCTCAAGTATTTGGCACGTTGCGATCATGTCCCCCTCTTGCCCTTCTCTGCTCTTAAGGTTCAGATGATGAGTAATTGTGTTGAACTTTCAGTTTTTTTTTTGCTTCACGAAGCAGGAAATACAGTCTGTATTGTTGTATTCATGTGTGATGAGACATGAGTATCAATATGAGACATGAGTCTCCAGATGAGACATGAGTATCAATATGAGACATGAGTATCAATATGAGACATGAGTCTCCAGATGAGACATGAGTCTCCAGATGAGACATGAGTCTCCAGATGAGACATGAGTCTCCGGATGAGACATGAGTCTCCAGATGAGACATGAGTCTCCAGATGAGACATGAGTCTCCAGATGAGACATGAGTCTCCGGATGAGACATGAGTCTCCGGATGAGGCATGAGTCTCTGGATGAGACATGAGTCTCCGGATTAGACATGAGTCTCCGGATGAGCCATGAGTCTCAATATGAGCCATGAGTCTCAATATGAGCCATGAGTCTCCGGATGAGACATGAGTCTCCGGATGACGGTGTCTGACCCGAGTGAGGAATGTCTCTCACCTGGCACATCCTAAGAACACATCTTTAGAGACGTCTTAAAGATAATATTCTTCAAGGCATCGTAAATGCAGATCTTCGAACAGGTCTTAAGTGCACTTTACTCAAGTATTTTAAGTGCACTTCTGACATGGCGACTGTCCAAGTGGTTCAGCATGACGCCACCTGGGTGCCGGCGCCACACACCAGAGAGCCACCTGGGTGCTGGCGCCACACACCAGAGAGCCACCTGGGTGCCGGCGCCACACACCAGAGAGCCACCTGGGTGCCGGCGCCACACACCAGGGGGCCACCTGGGTGCTGGCGCCACACACCAGGGGGACACCTGGGTGCTGGCGCCACACACCAGAGAGCCACCTGGGTGCCGGCGCCACACACCAGAGGGCCACCTGGGTGCCGGCGCCACACACCAGAGAGCCACCTGGGTGCCGGCGCCACACACCAGAGAGCCACCTGGGTGACGGCGCCACACACCTGAGAGCCACCTGGGTGCCGGCGCCACACACCAGAGAGCCACCTGGGTGCTGGCGCCACACACCAGAGGGCCACCAGGGTGCCGGCGCCACACACCAGAGAGCCACCTGGGTGCCGGCGCCACACACCAGAGGGCCACCTGGGTGCCGGCGCCACACACCAGAGAGCCACCTGGGTGCCGGCGCCACACACCAGAGAGCCACCTGGGTGCCGGCGCCACACACCAGAGAGCCACCTGGGTGCCGGCGCCACACACCAGAGGGCCACCTGGGTGCCGGCGCCACACACCAGAGAGCCACCTGGGTGCCGGCGCCACACACCAGAGAGCCACCAGGGTGCCGGCGCCACACACCAGAGGGCCACCTGGGTGCCGGCGCCACACACCAGAGAGCCACCTGGGTGCCGGCGCCACACACCAGAGAGCCACCAGGGTGCCGGCGCCACACACCAGAGGGCCACCTGGGTGCCGGCGCCACACACCAGAGGGCCACCTGGGTGCTGGCGCCACACACCAGAGGGCCACCTGGGTGCTGGCGCCACACACCAGAGAGCCACCTGGGTGCCGGCGCCACACACCAGAGAGCCACCAGGGTGCCGG